CTTCATTCACAAAAGATGGTATAGAGAGAATAAATACCTTTGGTGCTAATGCAACAACCTTACCCCATCCTTTTCTCCTCAAGTCACTTGATACGACGCCGCCAATACGCGTGCCAATCATCTCGTTCTTTTTGTTGACGAGGACAGCAGCGTTGTCGTCAAACCGTACCCATCGTCCATCTGGTCTCATGACAGCTTTTTTGCTTCGAACGAGTACTGCTCTTTGCACGTCACCCCTTTTCATCTTCAAGGAAGTCAATGTCGAACCGGACGAAGGTGCGCCTGCCGAGTTTTGAGGTATCGGACGTGCTTTTTGGATCACACAAACGAAAACATCTCCAACAGATGCATGTCCATGCGAAGTCTTGTTCTTCAGGACGTTGACGCACTCAGCTATCAGTGCACCTGTGTTGTCTATTATCTGTGGAGGGTGACGTTAGCTTTTCGCCCTATAATGGGATATATAACACGCCATTTGGCCGTTTTGTGAAATATAAACTCACGTTTACTCTGCCTTTGAGTCCAATCATTATGTGGGTGGAGATATAAAATTGTGAAGACCACCTTCGACCTCGACATAAGGGGGCGTGTTCACCAATTGGCTCAAAAGTAGACAATAGCAATCTTGAAAGAATCTACTCTGGTCAACGTTGCTACAGCTCCCATAACGGACCTCTCATGACTGCATTTCCAAGTTGAGCCTTATGCCTCATTGTATAGAGCAGAAGATACGGCTATGTTCAAGCTTTCTATGTAAAATTCCCTCGCTTACAAAGATCCAGTATCATATAAAAGGATAATATTCACCGCAAGGTGGAAGTCTACCGCTGACTGGTGGACGTCGAGTTGGTCCCCTAGCAATCATGTAGATATATGAAAGAAGTGATATTTCTAGAGGATTATGATAATGGTCAAGTAAATTGACGGCTTGTCAGTCATCCCAACGAGCATTGCGGCCAGCTTTGATTTCCTTTCGCTTTACTTTGTCAGTCCTCCTCTTCACTTTCTCCTTCTTTTGCAATCCTTTCACGTGTTCTCGTTGCTGTTCAGAGGGCATCCTTGGTACGGATTCCACAGCGGCTACTAGTATTATTTGATGCATCTACGGGTAGAAGAGAAATATCAGTTGATAGATACGGATTATTTTTACTATTATATTTTACCTTTTGTAAGCAGTCCTCTAGATTCTCGCTTTGAGACCGTGTCGTAGATGAACTTGTCTGAAGTGAAGACGAAGAACCAACAAAATAGGGCTGTACACGAGCAGTCAGTTATGGTAAAATAATGGACGAAGTATATACCCACTGTGTTTCTGAGTCGGTCTCGGGCCCACGCTGGAACCAAGGGTGACTCGAGAGAAAGTCGGACCGTGGCTTTGGTGTTGACCTTGTTCACATTCTACAGAAGATTGTCAGTAGAATAGTTATAGGTAGATATTATTGTCAATGGTCATGCAGACTTGAATATAAAGAGGAAATGTCCCGTACCTGGCCTCCTGGGCCGCCGCTCCTCGCAAAGGAGATATGCACATCATCCTTGGATAGAGCCTTGCGGCTACGAAAAGAAGATATCCAAGTTTCGGCCTCTGCTAGCTTTGCATTTGTCCATCCTGGAGGAAGGGTTGGTGTGCTTGACAATCCGCGGCGATAGCCATAGAGATCAGGAGTAAAATAAAGCCTTGAAGGGCTTCTCAAAGCGTTTCGGTAAAGCCTAGCATATGAGGAGCCTATTGGCATACGGGAGCTGTGGTTGCGGAAAACAAGTTATGTTGACCGCTTGGCTAGCTAGGAAACGAGGCAAAAACGATGACCCCGACCCGACTTGAACGGATAACCTTGAGGAATTACCAATCCTGGAATCTCACGCGCTACCATTGCGCCACGGGATCATGATATGGAAATAGAGAATAAGAGCATTATAATCATTTTTGAGTCACTTGAGGTAAAGGCAGTAAATTCGAAGACAAAAACGAGTGAGGATCCCTATTGAAATACATGAAAAGGGATGCTAGATAGAAAAGAACTACAACTACGCATACAACACAATTAGGTGGATTATTGCCCGACAATTATCCAAGATACAGGAGCGAACCACTTTAAATGTGTACACTACCAATATACAGCGATAATACTATACCCTATTGACCCCATTATATGCGTGTGTGAATCTCTTCGGCCTGGATGTTGACGGAATCCTTCGTGGTGAGTCGGGGAGTTCGAATGTTAGATTGCACAAGTCGGTGTGATAGTTGGTTATCATGTCAATCGTGTCGAGATGCTCAACGTCAGCCCGATCGTCTTTATCTGTTTTCCATGCAAGGACCGAGCCAGTGGACAAGCGGTTCGGTGGGGTCGGGTCGGTAAGAGTTGCGAATGTGATACCCGTCGTTTCAGAGGTATTACTTGCGTCCGGCTGGCGGGTGAGCCATACTAGATTGAGATAGACCCGTGTAGACATGACGGTATTGATGCCCCACATTACGCTAAAAATAGAAGCTGCGGCATCAGCAGGGGCCGTTCGCGGCTATTGAAAGGAGCGAGGTGGGCCTCGAAGATAAAGGTTACATACTAGACACCTAAATTAAGGGCTGTGACCCGTTGGGTTTGATACTATTGATGCAATCGTTATTGAGAAGCTGACAGGAAGGGGGTAGAGTACGCACGATCCAAATGTTCCAGCTCCTCACCGCAAACATGACCAAGAAGCATATGAGCCCATCCCTATACAGGACAATGAGGAAAGGTGCTTTCCCCTTCCCGTTAAATGTCTTGATACGAATGATACTTGCATGCCGGTATGCACGAAAAGCTGTGAACGCAAAGATAAAGAATTCGAAGGCAGCTGGGGCATAGAATAAGGCGGGAAATATCGGTGACGAGTTGAGTGTACCGCAGACTTTGAGGGAAGAGTAATAGTGGATCGTTTCTACGTACAGGCCCGAGTAGGTCAGCGGGCATATATTTAGAAAATAAGGGGAGTGGCCTGAAAAAAAACATACTATGGTAGGTGATCAATGCCAAAATGAGCACGCAGGTTGTGGCCCCGTATGTCAAGAAGAAGAATATGCGCATGAACCAGACGAAGAAGGGTTGCCGCTGGTACAATGCGATGAGACGCAACGTAAAGAGCCCTATAGAACGCAAGGAACGGAGAGGGAAGAGATCAGAGAGTGAGCACATGTAAATGGTGGCTTCATACTACGTACAGTTTGCGGCCATAGTGGTACTAAGCATGGAAGCAGTGGCCAGCACTACCCAAATGCGACAACTAGATATCAAGGTAAATGATGAGCCAAACTAAATTAAATATGTCCACTATGACTCACAACTGTGAACGGTGGTCAGTAAAACATAGTGAAGCAGTAGAGTTGACTCACGTCTTCTGATAGATGCCTCCTCAAGTCGGATAATTCTGCATATAGGCTATGAGGGAACCCGAGATATTGGAGACATAAGGACGATAATCTTACCATACGTGGCGAAAATGATAAAAACGAGAGTGACTATCCGGATCTGTGATGCCGTAAGTATGCTGGCAAGGTGGATATGACAATCGATGGGGGAATTACACACATAGTAGTATATTATCTTGGGCAAGGACCACTTTGAC